GTGTCTTCTGCTAGGGAAAAGCCTTACCCGTCATTGGCAAGCAGCTTCCATCAGCTATGCCCTGTCTTAGTCCAATTTTCTCTCAGAAGATCTTACCCGTCTTTGACTACTGGCCTTCATTAGGGGAGGGAGCACAATCTCATATTATGTACAATCACCTTGATTTGCCACAAAACCCCACTAAACCATTCACAATGGAAGTGATTCTCTATTATTTTCAGCTTTCATTTTCTCATTCTGAAAATGCAAAGCAGTAATTAATGTTTCAGCAGATTGCTTATTAGTAAGGCGAGATACGATTCCAAGAACACATCTATACCCTACTAACACTACGCACAAAAGTATTATAAAAATAACAGCTGAAGATCCAAGGCTATGTGAAAAACTTTGCCACCATCCTCGAGGATCAAGACCAGAAAGGGTATTCGCTAAGGTAGTAACTACTTGATCAATAGAACTTGTAGAAGGTATTTCCTCTGAAAATATCTCATATATCTCTTCCTGTAATTGTATCTCATTAAACGTTACATTATTCATTTTACCTTGAAAATACAATTCTATATTTTTCCATTCATATTTGGAATCATTATATTTATATGGGGTAATACAAATTTGAGAATTCCAATCACATACATATTGCACAGCTTTTTACAATTCTAATAGCTTATTTCCCAACTAATATAGCCCCCCCTTGTAAAGCCACAATTTCTTCCTGTAGTTGTGAGTTAATCTGAGCCTGATGTGTCCAAAGTTTATGAGAATCATCATGCCAATGTTCAATAAAGTCTTGAGTTTGTACAGATTTCTGAAGTGCCATACCAGCAGTAGTAGCAGTATCAGCTAAAGCAATGAGTCCCAAAATAGTGGCAATAATCAAGCTAATCATATGTTTGCTTCATCGTAACAGTCTTAAAAAATCACACAATTAGTCCTTGAACAGGACTGCTTTCCCAGGGATGATACATTTTCACTGGAATCCATAAGAATTTCTTTGAGTTAAAATCATGACTGATTCAAAAGATTGATTAAACAATATAGAATTATTAAGACAAGTATATGGATGACAATTTTGACAAGTTAGCTTCATCCCCTGTATGATTATGGGTCCTATTAATATTGCTAAAGGGAAATGTACACAAGCTGTAACATTATAGGTTTTAAACTTAAAAAAGTTGTAATATGCAGGAGAAGACTTAGTACCAGCATAAGTGCCATTTAAAATATCCACAGGCTTAAAGGCAGCTAATAATTTCCATACATGTAATTGAGGAGACTATAATCTTGATCATATTCTTATCTGAGGTCGAGGATTAGCTATTCCTCTATCCACCCAAGCGATAAGCCTGCCATTTTTTATATTATTACTCATGGGAACAGTATCATTCAAGATACAAAATGGGCTGGACTTGTTATAATCACTACAACCTTTTAACCAACTTCCCAAAGGACCCAATCAATCCAAGTATGATTTTGGAAACTTCTAAATTTTTCCTTTCATTCCTCTACAATTTTGCCATACCAAAGGTTTATAGTCATTTATCCAACCGTAAGAGAAGCCTTCACATTCTGACATAGCCGGGGCACCTGTGTCCTCATATTCTGTCCAATCGGAACCTACGGACTGAGTGGAGAGGTGCACCATACGAATTCGACTCCTATTCCAAATACCACTAGGAACGATCCAATTCTGCTGTCTTGTCTTATAGGATAACAAGGAGGAGTTTCAAAGCACATAATATCAGAAGACACAAATTGAGTATAATTAAAAACAGTCCCTTCCTCATTAGGATAATCTGGCTAACCTGTTCCATAGGGTGGAGACAACACATTCATAGGAAAAGTTGTGACTACTATAGTAGGTTCCTTCCAAGTATAGGGATGGAGAAGAGGGGGATTAGGTACATGAGCGCAATATATTACCTCAGTTTCAGCAGCAGAAGTGCAAGTAATCAAAGCACACATAGCTAAAAGTAGATGTTCTGGGGTAAGCTCTTTTCCTGTATGATTAACCACAGACCGAGCCTTAGAAGTCAAGGCATTCAATTGACCCCAAGTGGGAGGTGATAACTTTTTCTGATGATGTCGATGTTTACTGGTCAGTGATAATGCCGCCATTGTTTGGAATGGCATCCCCTGATCCTTTCTGCACTGTACCACCGTCTTCATTGATGAGGTCTGCAAAAGGATCCATCGGCTGGGATGCCAGAAGGAGACTCCATTTCCTGTAGAGACAAAACCATACCCTTTGCCTGGTATCAGTAACTTTCCTGGTACCCAATCTTGGGATTCTCCTGGCTTAATCCAAACTTACACTGGATCAGATGGGAGTGATGATTCCTGTAAAAAATGCTTATCCGCACAAGATAAGACTTCTCCTTGGGGCAGATTTAAGAAGTTAATAATGAACAACATTTCATATATTAATAATTTATGATTCCTAAGTCCTAATGTTCTAAATTCTTCATAATCTGGTGTATAAATCCTTCCTTTTAGTTTTTTAATATACATTTTAATATATCCATTATTACATTCTATTATAGCTTGTCCTTGAGGATTATATTCAATTCCAGTTATATGATTAATCTTATGGAATTCCAAAAATTTTCTAAATCGCCTGCTGATATAAGCAGGTGCATTATCTGTTTTAAGGGTGGTTGGAATGCCCATAACAGCAAACATTAACAGCTTGTAAATCAGTGAGCAATCGCCATTTTCCTGATTTCTTTTTGATGACAATGATAGGTGAATTCCATGGTGATACTGAAGGCTCAATGTGGCCTTTTTCTAGTTGTTCATTGGCCAAATGTTCAGCTGCTTGCAGCTTTTCTTCTGATAAAGGCCATTGCTCCATCCAAATTGGCTGATAAGATTTCCATTGTATCTTTATAGGAGATATATTTGACATTATCTACAAAGACATTAAAATTATGGAACTACCAAATAAGCTCCCCATTGTTCTAATACATCTCTACCTATAATATTTACTGGAAGTTCTAGTACATGAGGTTTAACAACAGCCATTTGTCCATCCATACTGGAAATTGTTCTATATTCTACACTAACATTAACTACTGATACTGGCTGAGCTCCAACTCCTTTGATATCACATTTCATAATTTGAGTAGTCCAATTAGATGGCCAGTCATCTTTTTTAATAATAGTGATGTCAGAGCCAGTATCAAGCAGACCCTTAAAAGATTTATCTTGAATTTTAAAATTAATATGGGGCTGTTGTACTTGCAACATCATAGCCCAATTGACAAAAATAGGATTAGTACTTCCAAACCCTCCAATCCATTTTTTGGAAGAGGATCCTCCTTTGATAAAAGGAAGAAGAATCAACTGAGCAATCTTATCCCCTATTGTAATAGGATATGAGCTATTGGTAGTAATCAAAATTTGGATTTCACCTTCAAAATCAGAATCAATTACTCCTGGACTTACAGTAACCCCCTTAGACGTTAAGCTTGATCATCCAATTAACCCCCAAGTTCCTGTAGACAATGGGCCATAAATCCCAGTAGGTATTTTATAAGGAATATTAGAGGGTGTCAATGTTATAGCTATGGCTGAGGGAAGGTTCACAGCTGCACTGCCTGCGGTTGCAGGGTTGAGGGAAAAGATGGTTGGGTGCTCCCGATCATTTGTGAGGGGCCTTGGGGAAGGCTGCGAACCTTGTTTCCCGAATATTGTGGTTGAGATGTTGTCAGAGCCTTATTATTTTTTAAGAAATTACCATCAATATCTGTCCTAGATCTACAGTCTCTAGCCCAATGCACACCACGATGACAGTGGGGACACTTACCAGGTGACCAGGACAGTGCCTTAGGGCACTGCCATTTCATATGTCCCTCGGTACCACAACCAAAACATTTCACTTTCGATTTAACTGTCCCCTTTTGTGGATTTATAGAAGCTGCCAAAGTTTGAGCAAAAAGTTGCATCTTTCTAGTTTCAGACTGAACATTACGACAGGCTCGAGCATATCCCATAATATCACCTGTCTCTTTTATAGATAAAATAGCTGTTTGGCAATCCTCATTTGCATTTTCGTAAGCCATGACCTTTGCTATTGCTTCTTGCGCAGCAACTCCAGGCACACAGAGTGTTCCACAGCCTTTTGAAGGCAAGCCAAAAATTCTACATACGGCTCCTGAGATCCCTGAATAATTTTAAGCCATGGACCATGCTTTTCTCCCTCAGGTGGTACATGATCCCAAGCTTCAAGGCAGATCTCCTCAAGCTGAACATGAATAGCTTCAGGTGCATTAACCTGTTGGGCAGGCAAATCATAAGCACTTGTTCCTGTTAGCATAGGATAAGTAATACCTCTAATTTGTGCATCAGTAGAAGCAACATTATCCCTATCTTGTGAGGCAGCAAGGTCATAATACCACATGGCCCACCGAATATACTCTGATGGTTTCAACAATGATCTACCCAGAATTTTCCAATCCTCTGGAGCAAGATTCCCATAATGATTAGCCAAACCTAGAAGAATTTCTTTCACATAAGGTGACTGTGGACCATATAGTGTTACTGCCTTGTGAACCTTAGTGATATGATCTATATCTATACCTTCATAAGTAGGTGGTTGTGCAGGTCCATTATCAGGGGGATATTGAATAATTTAAAATGCAGCTTTTGGTATAATAATATCAGGGTCAGAATCAGATTCAGAAGTTTGCACCAATAATTTTGTAAGTGCTGCTGTTACTCTCGACCTTTGTTTAGGTTTCACTTTTACTTTGGGTTTAGTCACAACCAGTCTCTTTAATTTCTTTCTCATATATCGAGCCATATCTGAGTCCTCATCAGAGTCTAATGAGTCCTCCATGTCATCTGGACATGAGAGGCATGGGCTGGATAAGGAGGGACTAAAGACTCCTTCCCTGCAGAAGTATCCACAGAAGACTCTAAAGAAGTAGCCTCTTGAATCTCCTTAACAACTTTATTTTTTAACTCTTCAGGAACATCATAGAGATTAACTGCTTCATTAGAAGTACAAAAAAACTGAGTTGGTGACAAACTATTTGGACCTTGATTAATTAATATAATAGCTGTTATGATAAGTGCCCACACAGACCAAAAATCAAGTGGTATTGTTTCTCCTGTCTGAAATGCCCTTTCCACATTTGTTCTGACTTTGTCCCAGACTTCTAAATCTAAAATTCCTGTATCAGGAAACCATGAATTAAACTCTACAACTATTTGCACACAACTATCTATCTTTTTTCTGGAAACTTGTGCACCATTACTATGAAGAATATGAGGAATTAAAGAAACAAAAGGAGTAGACTTACCTTGTCCCATTACTCTGCAAATAATTTTTATTTATTAAAAATAATGTTTACTTTTATAAACCAACTGGTACCAGCTGGTCAAAATATCCGCCACCTCTTCTGGATGACTTTTTACTTACTTGGCCAAGACTCCGCCACCTCCTCTGGGTGACTTTTTACTTACTTGAACTGCAGCTCTATACTCCACACCTCCTCTGGGTGCAATGTTGGGGTCCCTGTTCTGGAGCCAGCTGTCACGGTTCAGTGACCACAGTTCAAGCCTGATGGGCTTGGGGACTCCAAGGTATAGGCGCAGGAGAAATCAGGATGCAGGGGATGCAGTGGAGTGTGAACCAATGCATACTTTATTCTAAGAAGCAACCCTGTTTTATAGTATAACAAGAGGAAGAAAAACTGTTCTTCTCAAGCCAAATTATCTCATCATGATGTTTACAGTACCTCATGATATTTGCAGTACCTTCGTGTTCCCAGGGCTCAGCCCTTTTTGGAATCATATCTGTCCTTCCATGTCTATTAAACATTATGTTCTTTACTTATAACTTTATTAACTACACAGCTTAGTTATAAGCTTCCTTATGTACATTTAATAGGGTTCAAGGAACAGTCAGTCTCATGATAGGAATAACTGCAGAAGAACATCCAAATTCCCAGGGAACTGAGGCCTCCCATTCCAGATCTGGGTTGACTTCAGATCAGGGCTCAGGACTTCACAGGAGATCTTTTTTTAAAGTTTAAAACCTCATTTAATTTTATGTCTTATAGGGGATGTATGGAGTACAATATTGTATAACTGTATCAATTCAACTGTAAACCTAAAAATTTACAGCCAATTTTGAAAGAGATGCATCTTAGCTCTGGAAATTGTTATTGAATATGTCAATGCTGTTATAATGAAATGCTTCTTCTAATTATATGGTTATTAAATAAATAATTTAAAAAATAATAAGAGTTGGATATAAGCATTTCACAGTCTTGAAAGCTGTTTTCATGTCTCAAATGGTGATTTATTTAACTAACAACAAGATTATGTCATGGGAAATTGGCCATTGATCGTTGCTTATCTTATTCCTGAATTTGGCTTACATTGACAAAGAGTTATGAAATAATTAATGGATTGTGGTGGTTTGAATGAAAATGTCCCCCATAGGCTCCAAGTGTTTATACATTTTGTCCCCAGATGAAGGCGCTGTTTTGGGAGGTCTTAGAAGGTGTGGCTATTCTGGAGGAAGCACGTCACTGGGGGTGGGCTTAGAGAGTTTTTAGGCCTTGCCAGATCTCCAGTTGTTCTCTTGCTTCCTGTGCCTGCATGATGATGTGAGAGCTTCACTTCTGCTGCTCCTGCTCCAGGCACCTCTAGCCACCATGCCTCCCTGCCATGGCGGACTGTAATTCCCCTGGAACCGGAAGCTCAAATAAACTCTTCCTTCTATAAAAAAAAAAAAAAAAGAGTCAACATTTATAAACTCTTGATGAGAAAAGCACTGCTTTTTATGACAATGCTGAAGTCTATGCAACAGGAATTTTCCACACTTGTTCTCTGCTGTTGGGAAATGAGGCTTCTGTTGATCACATTGTGCTTAATAGTTGTGAAAAAAAAAATCATTCTTATCTGAGCCTCAGACATACAGGAACAAAATCGTTGCCAGTTTCAAGAACCAAAGAACAGTTGGAAGCTATCTGTTTGATAGTGGGATTTTTGCATCAAAGAGTTCCTACTGGACAAATTTCAAAACAAGACAAAGAAGCAAAAGGAAATAGATCAGATTTTGAGTTACTGCGTCATCTCAAAATTTGTCACTAAGCTCCTGAAGGTAACAAAAGCTGATTTCATGTTCCTGTTTTTCGTTGTGTGTGTTCTGTTATAAGAGGAAGCAATTTTGCTGTTTGAGGTTATTCTTTTGAATCTTCTACAATATTGTGCGTGAATTTAATAAATGGCAAGAGAAAAAGACTCAGGCCTAAAGGCATGAGAATAGAATTTCAATCCTATTTTTTTGTAAAATTTCAGGTGTTTCACATGTAATGTCTTATTGCAGCCCTCCAATGTCTCAGACATTATGTGCTATCCATGATCCTAGTGTCCATGGCTGTCAGCAAAACCAAGCTCCATGGTTTTGTTTTTATTTCTACACTATGCATTCAACTGGCTTCAATTGAGAATGGTCTGTGAAGTAAAGCTGACAAGTGGCCATGTTTTTCTTGGGAGTTTTGTACCTATTTTTGGATTTCGTTTGTGGATATTTATGTCATTGCCCCCTGTCACATTTAATTTCATGAGTTCTAGAAGATGCAACTGAAAAATTGCACCTTATAGTAAACTACCGGAAGCAACAAAACCATGACTCTATCCCTCTATCCAAATGTTTTGTAAGTCATTATACATGCTAGTGAAAAATCTCCTTCCTATCTTTGCCTCTGTTCACCAAATCAACCACTTCTATAAATAGTTTATTGTATATGTTTTCAAATTTTCCTTGTATATAAAAACAAGCAAATATAAGTTCCTATTTTTCCCCTTAAGAAACAAAAGGTAACAGTGTGTAGAGTTCTATACCTTATTTTACACATCTTTTCAACATTCAAGGGACTTGAGCATTCTTCTTTAAGTTTCATAAGTGCATTGAATTAGCTGTGTTTTTAAATTTTATTTATTTTTATTTATGTATATGAGTGTATGTGCAGAAACAAGAGGGGTGTCAGATTCCCTGAAACTGGAGTTTTGGGTGGTTTTTAGCCACTATGTGGCTGCTGGGAACTGAATCCAGGTCCTCTGCAAAAGCAGTCAATACTTTTAACTGCTGATCCATTTCTCCATAGCCCCAGCTATGATTTTTTTTTTTTTTAGCTAGCATTCTATTGATGAACAGTTCTCTTCCTCTCAATATTTTGCTTTTGTAAGTGATCTGCAATAAATACTCTTGCATATGACCTTTTGAACATTTGCAAAGAGGTTAAACAATTCCATTTGTAATTCAGATGTGATTGCCAAGCTGGTCTCTTTGGGGTCTGCTACCAAGTTTTCAATTTTGTAGTAGCCTAACATGGAAGCAATATCATCTGTCTTATGACAAGAGTGTGAAACTGAGCCTTGTTCCATATGTTTGGGTATTTCTGGTTTTCCTTTAAATGTGTTTAAATCTTTTGTCCATTTTTCTGTTGGAGTATTTTTCTTTTCGTTTTCTATTTCTGAATCTTGTATATAATATGAAAATTAACTTCATTTCTGCAATATTATTTTCTAGTTTCTTTCATGTCAGCTTTTAGCTTTTGATTCTTGATATTTTGAAATAGATAAATATTTATTGGATGGAGTTAACTTTCATAATCTTTTATATTATGAACATAAATTTTATTTTATTTTTAAAAATATTTTTGGAGGGTTTTGTGCATTTTATTTAATAGATCTTAATTAAATTTAGACCCCCTTCCACATCCATGCCTCTGATAGAATGCATGCAATCATTTCAATTTTTTTGTATTTGTTGAGGTTTATTTTCTGTCACAGTATGTGGTCAATTTCATAGAAACTTGCATGGTCTGTTGAGTAAAAAATGCATTCTTTGGTGGAATATTCTGTAGTTATCTATTAGGTTCATTTGATGTAAGACATCATTTAATTCAGATGTCTGTTTATTCTTTGTTCGGTTGGCCTATCTATTGGAGATAGAAGGCCTATCTATTAGAGATACAGAGTTGGGGTTAATCTGTGATTTATGAAATTGGTGTGCCAATGTTTGGTGCATATATGTTTATGATTGTAATATCATCTTGGTCAATTGCTCCTTTGCTTAAAATGAAGTGACCTGCTTCATATCTTCTGATTAGTTTTAATGTGAAGTCTCTTGACAGATAGTAGAATTGCAATACCTGCTTGCTTCTTAGAGCCATTTGCTTGGGGCATTTTTTCCATTCTTTCACCCTAAAGTAGTGTCTATCCTTGTAGGTGAGATGGGTTTCATTAAGACAGGAAAGAGATGGAGTTTGTTTTTTAATCCATTCCACTAGCCTGTGTCTTTTAACTGGGGAGTTTAGGTCATTGATATTTAGAGTTATTATTGAAAAATGTTTATTGGTTACTGTCATTTTAATTTGTTTGTGTTCTTGGCCTATTTTGTTTTTCCATTATTATAGCTTCCTTTGTTT